CTGGGTTGGTTGGGGCGAGCGGTGGCGGCGAGCTGGGAAGGAGAGAGAGACGATGTGAGGGAGAGTTGTACCCCAAAATATGGACCGGCTGGTCTCAGGGCGTGGTCACCGGCATCCCCCCCTATTTCCCTCCTCCATCACACCCCACCCCTGTCATACCCTGATTTATTTTGTTATAAGCACTGAAGCCTTACACCCAGGGCTGGCATCCTCTGTATCCCCCCGCCCGCCCGTAGCAGATCGCCCCTAAAACCAAGAGCCACCCCCAGCCTTATCCAGCAAGGCCCCAGGAGGATGGTCTCACCTGAGAGAACTGGATAGGGTTGAAGAGAGGGACTGTGCCCACCGGTGACGGAGATTCGTGGGAGCTGGTCTGGAAGGGGTGAAAGGAGAGAAACTTAACGGCCACTCCTCAATTTCAGAGCCATAGGGAGCAGAGGGGTGTCTTGGACTCCCCCATCATGCAGGCACACCCCTCCCTCCTCTCCTCACCTGCTCTCCCGCTGACTCCCCACTGTCCGTATCCCATGAGCCTTTCAGCTCAGCGGACACTGGCGTAACAGCAAAGGTAGTTTCACCTTGCATTCCTCCTGGGGCATACAACCAAAAAAACTTAAAATTAGGAGGAGCAGCTTCTACAAGGCCGACAGGGAGAGGGGTGGGGAGACACGTGCGGCATTTACCAGGGTCTCTGGATGGAGGCTGAGCCAAAGGGCTTGTCCCAGCTGTGACAGGGGTGTCGGGCGGGGATGGAGACATCTGTTCCTGAAATCACAGTCACCCATTTAGAGCAGAAGCTCCTTGCATGGCAAAGAGACCTCTGCACCAGTTACCGCACCACATTATTGGGGTACCATTCTGCACCCATCCAGTACCCCAAGAGCTGCAGGCAACCAAGCTAATGAGGGGCTACGGGGTGAGAGCAAGCAAGCCCTGTCACAAAGCTAAATCACTCGGAGAGCTCAAAATCAGACAGGACACCAAGCCTGTGCAAGCGGCCACCAGGGTTCATGGGTTCCCCTCTCGCTTCCTCATCTCCTGCTACCTTTGGAAGAAAATCCCGAAATTTCCTGCTCTGGGACTGTAGGTCATTCTCAACCAGGAGAAAACTTCCAGGGGAGGATCTCACTCCAATATCTGCCTTCAAGCCTGCCAACCAGCTGCAGTGGGGGATGTGACACCCCAAGGACTCAGCCAGGACTGGGATAACCATGCATGGCTGCTTCCCTCTTGTGGCTGCTTCCCCGTCTCTGCTGCTCTTCCAATTAAAGAGGTTTTTCCTTCTCTTTAAGCTCCTAAAACCTGCTGGAGCGATGCTGCTTGCAGCTGCTGCTTTCCACTCCAGCGGAGGGCAAGTGATCCCCACAGAATTGGCTGAGCACTCAGAGGACCTCCTGGATCAAAGAGGCTTTATAAATTTACAATTACTATTACTCAAGGATGCGCTTCCAGGCTAAAATACTCCTGGTCTCACTCTGTCCCCACACAGAGTGCCTACGGACAGAAGAGGCCCAGCCACCTGCACGAGGTCAGAGGGAGAAATAGCGGGTGATAGGGCAGATGTGTCACCCATCCTGGGTGTCACCAGGGGACAGGACAGCCTTTTGTCCCTTACCTGCAGTCCCAGCGTGGGGGAGTCTGGGGCCCTCTCAGAAACAGCTTTGGAAGAGGTCTCCTTGGTGGGCTTCGACCGAAACCAGCCAAACCACCTGAATCCGAAGCTCTGGGAAATGGAGGTTGTTGCAAAGGAAAACAGTGAAAATGGAGGAGAAGGAGAGGATGCCATGGCTGCCCTGATGCCTGCCAGGAGCAGGCACCATTTTGCCAGGGGCAAGGCAGGCACAACAGGCATCAGGGACAGACAAGCTCAGAGCACAGCGTTTCACGTCAGGTCTGCCACTCTCACCTTGTCCTCACCCGACTTCCCCGCCTCTGATGGTGACAGCTCTTCGGCAGTGTCCTCGGACGCGCTCTCCGAGGAAGGCTGGCTGTCATCTTCCGAGGAGACAGTGGAGCTCTCTGAGGCAGTTCGAGTCCTTGCCTTTAATTCTCCCTGGCATGGAGATCAGAGCTGCCACATGGTGTTCCTGGAGGAGCTGCCCCCAGGACTCCTCCATGCCAGGCTTCACAGACAACATCCCTTAGGCAGGAGGTGGGGAGGAGCAGCATCCACAGTGGGGTGCAGCAAGCAGACAGCCCTAGGCTACCCTAACCCTACCCTAACCCATCAGGCTCCCCAGAGGGATAGCTGTCACCGTGATGGGGGGCTTCCATGCAAGTTAAATGTGTGGAAGGATGAGCCAGCAAGTCCCCAAGTCCCAAATTCCCCCCAGCCCCACAATGGGACAGTCTCCGTGACCCTTCTGACTCACCTGCTGTGCTGGGAGGGATTGCTGCACCCCCTCAGGGGACAGCGAGGTGCCCTGGGTCTCCCCAGCTTCTCCTGTGGAGCAGAGGGAGGGACACAGTCAGGTTTGGCCCAAGGAGCTCCTGCCATGTCTGTCAGAGGTGTTTTCAGGTCTTCTAACATCCCACCCCAGAGCAAGGCCACGTGACTAAGATGTCCCCCCAAGAGATGCAAGAGGCAGTTCTGGTCCCTGTCCCTGCCAGCAGCAGGGAGGCAAGGCTGGAGGGAAGCAAGGCGCTGGGTGAAGGCAGCAGTGCTGTAGGGGATCACAATGCCCCAAGGGACACCCTGTCATCCCACTGCTACTAACTGGGGACAGGCATTTGTGCAGAGGAACAAGGCTGGAGCACTTACCTGCCAGCAGCACTGCCTGCAGAGGGGGGTCAGCAAAACCACCTCCCAGAAGGGCAGCCACCCCTGGACCGAGTGCGGGAGGCTGCGGCTCTTGCCCGACACCAGGCAGCGGCAATGCTGCAGCCTGAGTAGGTGCTGGGGACTCGACGGACACTTCTTCGTGGGAGCTGGGTGCCTGGGATGGCACAGGCTGGTACCACTCATCACACTGGTAGCCTTCACTCTGGGCAAGCTCATGGGCATCTGCAAAAAAACCCCACACCTCAGGAGTTTACTCCAGCGTTTATAACATCAGCAGGCTGTTGCACAGAATTCTCCCTTTTTCCATTGTGCATCAGCAGGAGCCGTGGGGTGAGGAGGGACCCCGGGGATGAGGGGGAGGTAGGGTACAGCACAGTAGAGGACCTTTCAGAGGCTGCAAGGAAGGTAGGCTGGGAAAGACAACAGGGAAAAACATCCTGGGAACATGCGTGAGGTTGCAAATGAACTCCAAAGGGGAATGCTATGGAAGGAAAGAGACAAGCACAAGCAGCACACATCAGCAGTTCAAAATGAGCCCAGGGCTGACAGCCTCTTCTTCCACTCCTGCTGCACACCCTGAACAGGAATGAAAATTCACCGGGAAGCTGCAGCCTTCATTCCTGCCCCTCAGGAGCACCCATGGATGAGTTTCTTGCTTTAGGCAGATTCATTCAGTGTTGTTTTTTTCTGTTTGAAAGGAAGGTTGAGCAACTGGGCTTTGTTTTATTTAACACACACACACACATTGCTCTGTCTGATGTTAGACATAGCACGGGCAGCACGCTGCTGTTCATCCCAGGTACGTGTCCTGCTTGTTCCAGCTCTGCAGTCTCTGGCCAGAAACATGCTGGGCACTGGGAAGTTTCTCTCCCATCACCACGAGACGTGGCCAGGCAGGACCCAGACCCCGTGGTTCTGAGCCTAGGGACAGACTACTGCACCTCTTGAATGTGATGCTACAAAACCCTTTGCTCTGCCCGCCAGCATCGCCTTCAGCCTGCTCAGGGTCGGCTTCACACCGGCGAGCTGCTCCCACACAGCCTGGAGATCTTGCAGCAGCAGGGAGATCCACAGGGAGGAGGATGGATGCTCAACTCCACGCTGCCCAGCAAGCTCAGCCAGGGAAAGTCAGGGAGGAAAACCCAGGATCTAAGGATGGAGTGGGAGGTTGCTGTGACCATGCGGATCCCAGCTTAGCTTCTGGCTTTGGATTTTGTCTTTCTAAGCTGGATGAATTCAGCAGCAAGCCAAATTTCTCCGTATGCAGGTCCTTCAGATGATGACTCCTGATGGCTTCTCAATGAACAAAAGTGCCAAGCATCAGGAAAGTCAGCTGCAGGGACCACGTGGAGCAGATCTTGCCACTTGGAAAAGCCATCCCTTCATACCTGCGACTTTCTTCCAGAGAAGGATGTTAATAGCCTCAGCCCTGATAGCAACAGAAGGCCGTCAGGATTGATGATCATTTTTACTGCCTGGGAGAGCTCTTTGACAAGGAATTTGGCAGCAGCAGGGGAAGATGATAGGAAGAAATGGCTTGGAGAAATTTGTCATGTTTTATCCTGTGCACCAGCCTTTATTCTCCGCCCATCAGTGCCGGCATTCCCAGCAGAAAGCTAGACCTGAGCAGCAGCAAGGAGCAGCAGGCTGTGCCAGGATGTCCTGCTGATGGAGGTGGCTGCAAAGCAGTGCCAATTGTCACCAGCCCCTGACTTCTCCTCGATGGGACATCCTAATGGATGCACTGCCAGCTGGGAAGGGAAAAATCTCCAGCCCTTCCCTTGACAGCCAGCCAGGGGAAGCTCACATCCCTCATCCTGATGTCTCTTGACTCTCTGGGTGAACCAGCACCATAAGGGACTCTTGGGGTCACCAAGAAGCAAAGCAATGGGATGAAAGAGGCAGCAAGGTAGGGGAAACACTGGGGCTCCAACAACATGCTGCAGCCCGGAACACAGAGGGAACACAAGTTCCTTCCCTATCTTCAGCTCTGCAAGTGTGAAAGCCCCTTAGTTAAACTCCAATGTGCATCCTCAGAGGACTGCCAGGGAATGGGGCTGTCTCCCTTAAGGGTCAGCCAGGAGACATGCTTCTTCCAGCCTCCCTTCTTCTCCCACAGTGCTCACAGAAACCCCTGAGGCTGTGATAATTAGGCCCAGTGACTCAGATTTTGTGTGGACGGCACAAGCTCAACCCCTCAGTTTGCAGCCTGTCCCTGGCAGCCCCATGCCACAGGGATGCATCCAGGCAGGAGCAAATTTCTGAGCTCTGGGGGGATGTAAGGAGCAAGGAATAGCCGCTGAGAAGTGCTCCAGAGAGCAGGGAGCTGCCTCCCACCACGTGGCAGCACAACTCCACGTGCAGAGAAGCCCATTGCAGTGATTACAACCTGCTGCTTCATTTTCTTTACCTGCCATCGATGCAGCAGCCCAGGAGAGCCCTGGCTGACCAAGTGCTACCTCTGGAAGGAGGTCATCTTCCACCTGCAAGGAATCAGAGGGAAAATGTGATAAAACACATTTCCCAAAGAGATGGCACAGGGCAAAAACTAAGGAAAGCACAAAGCCAGTTTAAAGGGAAGCACGGTGGGCCTGGGGCTCACAACTCTCCCTGGCCTTCAGGAGCCCTGGTTACAGGCCGGACCCGTACAAGCACGGTCACAGCTCTTTCCCATCAAGTGAAAGGGCTGCAGCACTGCTGCCCTGCTGAGAGCAGGCAGGAGGGGAAGCTGGAGAAAAAGAGCACAAAACAAAAAGCAGACATGAAACCTGAACAAAGAGCATTAATCCAAGAACCAGAGAACAGTTAAGGTACCAGAGAGCACACATCTGCAAGGGGATGGCCCACCAGTGTCTGCTGCAATACCTTCACTGGAAGATGAGATCTTCACTCACCCACCAGCCCCCGAGTGCCCTTCTTGAGCCAAGACAAGGAGCGTTTTGTTCTGTGTGAAGCTCTGCAGTCCCCACTGCTCACATCTTCTGGCCCTCACCCCCCTCTGCTCCCACAGAAGCTGCAGGTCCCACAGCAGAGACCACACCTTTGAGCTCACCAGACAAGGGGAAAGGCGCCCAGGTAACGACGGCCTTCGAATCTCCATACCCATTCTCCTTGCATTTAGGGCAGAGGAGGAGGATGCTCCTGCGGACAAACCACAACGCAGACCGTCTGCCCCCCAGCATCCCCGCTCCAACTTACCTCCCACTCCCCGCAGCAGGCTCGCAGCTGTACCAGCCAGTCGGGCTCCAGCATCTGGTCCTGCTCTGGCATCTCCAGGAGCAGCGGGTCAGAGAGCTTCAACCGCTCGGCTAGCTGTGGAGCCAGGAGGGCAACGGGGCTCGTCACACAGCTCAGCTCCGTGGGGAAGAGACTGACCCTCGCAGCAATTGCCCGTGGCTGGGCACCCAGGGGGAAGTAGGCCCAGAGCTGCACTTCTTCACAATATGGGGGTAAAAGTAATACCAGCCTCTTGTGCAAGATGTATTCCCTCTCCTGCATTGCTGTGGAGGGGTGCTGGCCTGTCCATGCCCTGCAGAGAGTCTCCCAGCAGGACCATCTCAGCCACCTCCGCAGAGATGTCAAAGTACTGATGTCAAAGATGCTTTTCACACTGAGAGGTAACTATTACCATCCATTTCTCCTCCAAGGTAAATGAGCACCTTTAATCCCACTTGACAGCCAGCCCAAGGCACTGGCAGGTTTGCAGGGCACCCCACCAGGAGCCCTGGGAACAGCTCAGGTCCCAGGGCTGTGTGCCAAGCCCATATCTAACCCACAAGAATGGACAGAAACCTGTAGGGTTTGAGCTAAGGGCTCACCTGGCCATTTCCTCACCTGGGTTTGCAACAAGCATTACCATTACTAATAGCCACACCAAAAACAAACACAGAGCTGGGAGGGCTCTGAGGTTACCTGATCCATCTGCCAATGCTCAAGAAAATCCCGTGTGCCCACACCAGCCAATGCAGCCTGTGTTTGATTTGCATTTACAAATCTCCGAGGAGAAGATTTACACAGGCCTGTCCTGATGCCTAACATCCTTAGAGCTAAAGAGTATTTTCTTAAAATCTAAGTGAAATCTTCCCTGCTGCAAATTAAGCCTCTCGATTTCTGCTCCCACAGGAGCTGTGGGAACAGCCAGACACCATCCCCTGAAAAGCAGCCTCCTGTTTGCTGCAGGACAGTTATCTCACCCCCCGTACCTCTTCTTTCCCCAGCATATCTTGCCTGGAAAAAAAAAAACCCTGAGGCCTTCTTTGGAGGTCACTCACCCCTCGGTCTCTTATCACCCCTTCTCTTCTGCACTTGCTTCAATCTGGCCCTGGCTCTGAGCGCAGCATTCCGAACGGGGCACAGTGCCCCAGCCGAGACCCCTCAGACCCGAGCATGGGGGGGATTATCACCTCTTGTCTCGCATATGCCGTTCTTGCTTTCACAGTCCAGAATAACATTCTAAGATTGGAAATCTTTTTCCTTTTTTTTTTTTTTTTTTGCAACAGCATCCTGTTATCATGTTGCTGTTCAGTATTGTTTCCATGTTCCACTATCTCCCCCAGGTCCCTCTCTGCAGTATTGCTGCTGCGTGTTTCATTTCTCCTGCAAGAGAGGGGTCTGGGCTGCCCTGGCTGCAGCTATCTCCATCACATGAATCTCTGGCTACCATCAACAGGGCAAGAGGCTTTTCTGGGGCAACCCACCCCACTGGCCCAGGGTGTGATGAAGGGCTCCCTGCAGAGCTAAATCCCAGTCTGGAGAAATTGCTTACGTAAGGGTCCAGTTTTACAGCAGCTGGATGAGAGGAGATGGCACCGAAAGCATCACTCTTCACCCATGTCTTTACTGAATTTTCCCTTACTGATATCAACCACTTCTTGGAGATTTATCAAGCTCCCTCACCCTCATTTATCTTCTACACTTTGCTATGAGGCTGATGCATCAAGGGCCACCAAAAGCTGTCCAGAGGTGACTTTACAGCTCAGCCACCGTCTGCAGTCACACAGGTTTCAGCTATCCCCCCAGCACCTGTCCCCATCAGCTATTTCTTCCTATTCCCTAAGTTTTTTAAAACAAAGTATAAACCAGCACAAGGCCAGCACTTCCCACCCCCGGGAGGCTACAGCAAGATGCGCAGGACCCACATGGCTGGAGCCCACATCAGGGACACGGGGCAGCTGCAGAGAGTCAAGTAACCCAGCACCCATCCAGGCGCTTGCGTGGCCAACAGTCCCACCGTCCCATCTTCCTGCGAACACACGTGTGTTCAGCCTAAATCAATCGCAGAAAAAGAGGAAATTATAAGCATGATTACTCCTAAACGGGGGGAATGTTTAATCCAAAAGCTAATGTGCACTTTGATCCAATATTAATGAACCAGCACCTGATTGTATATCGTCCCCAGCTTCAAAAGAGGGGAAGTCTTAATCAAACACTAATGTGTATCATCATTTGTAACACAGTCTAAAACATCAAAGACAAGAGAGTCTATGAATGCACTAGTTTTTCAGATGAAAGTGTTTTCTCCCAGGAGAAGCATTATCCCCAGCAGAACAGCAGATCTCAGAGGCTGTTAGTAAATAGGTTTCGATAATGGGGGGCGGGGGAGGAGGGAGTGGGGGGGTTATGTGTGTTTGCACCCGCCAAGTTTTGGGCCATTTCTACAGCACTTGCTTCAGACCAGAATCCCTGCTGCCCCTCATCTCACAGCACCACAGCTTTTGTCCCCTTCCCGATGGAGGAAGGCTTCGAGCAGCCTCGGCACTGCCCCAGCAATGCACATAGAGTGTGCAAACCCGCTCTCCTCAGAGTCCAACCTGCTTAGGGGACCTGGGACACTTTGCTTCTCCCCTCCCTTCTCCAGCTCCCCACTTCATGAAGCAGAGGAGCTGGGCTCAGTGCTACAAGCTGGGACCTGCTCCTGCTCACTGTCACCTCAAAAGAGCCCCCTGCAGGTAAATGCAACTGTGGGATGAAGTGCTGGAGGGGAAATACCCAGAACTCATACTATAGCTCCTTAAGTCTGTGTCATTTAGAAGTTCAAAAAGCCCTTCCAGAAAATAAAACATCCTTTGCTTCCAAATGGCTCTTCTCCTACTTGGCAATCAACACCATTCCTTCATTTTCTACCCTAAATCCCTGGGTATTAGAGACCCCACTGAGGTGTTGGATTTGCCAAGCTCAGCACATGCCAGGTAGCAAACTCTGGGGGGCTGCTCAGAGCTGCCAGCACCCCACCTGGGAAACTTTGAGGATTCTTCCCACCACACCGAGTCCCGCGTGGGTATCACACCCAAGAGGAGTATGAGACTCACCTTCATCACCTGCTGGGCCAGGACAGGGTGGCTGGCCGGATCCTGGCCCAGGAGCGCTGTGGCGATCTGCTCGCAGTATTGCAGGGCCTGAGCTGGGAGCCCGTAGTCGGCCAGGCGAGAGGCATAGAGGAGCTTGTACGCCTCAGGGGAGGGAAGCAGAGCAGACATAGGTGAGCGAGGAGAGGTTTTTGCCCATAGGTCCCCTGGCACATCATCCCAGCGTGACTCAGGGCACCCTGGGTCATGAGTCTCCACACCAGGTCACCCACATCTTGGGGACACCCCACCTGTCCCCATGGGGTCGCGCAGCCTTGTTCCCCAAGCCACAGCACTGTCACAGGACGAGCCCGGCCCAGAGCCAGCAAACAGGCAGTGGGGAGAGCACACCAGCCCACCACCTTCATTTATCTACCCCATTTGTGCAGTGCCCAAGGCAGCGACAGTTGGGTGTGTACGTGCAATATGAGAAGCCTATCCGTTAGTCAGAGAACAACCAGACCTGCGCAAGCACTATTCAAACACACTGTGTCCCAACATCTGCCCAAAGCCCTGAGCTGGAGGAAACCCTCAGACAGGACAGCCTCCTCATCGCTCCTGAAGCCCAGCAAAGGGACAAGCCTTGGAGAGCAGCCCAAATCCCTGACTTCAGGGGCATGGATGCAAGTTTTGGAGTAGGTCTGAGCTGCTACATCAGATGTGCTTGTGCATCTGTGCTACCTGAAAGGGGAGCAGGAAGGATTCGGGCTGTCGTAGTTGCTGACAGTACTCAAAGATTTCCATCCGCTGGATGACCTCTGTCCTGGCAAACTGGGTGAACACCTGACTGCAGAGAAGAGGGGTAGGTTCAGCAAGCAGGAGCAGAGCTCTTTCCCCAGACAGCCCCACACACAGATTACCAGCTCCACCACTGCGCCAGCCAGCAGCCAGAGAGGCCCAGAGCAAAGCTCGTATTAAGAGCAGTAAAAACCCACAAATGGGGATTGCTTTTGCATAGAAGTGAATTCCCAGGATGGGGATAAGGTGGAACTCATCACCCTGGCAAGGGCACTGCCTGCCTGGACTCACTCACCGGTGGCTGCTGCCCAGCAGAGCCATGCGATCTGCCTTTGCTCCGAAGTAACCAAAAGGAATATCTGCCAACAGGTAGCAGAAATGAGCTGCTTCGACTGCTCCCCTACCAGCTGAATGGGAGTAAAAAAGACAAACAGTCCTGAGACAGAGGTCACTGCATGGCCAGTGTTGCTTCGGAGGCCCCCAGGTTCACATTAAAACCCAAACCCAACCACTCCACTCTTCTTCCCTGTCCATTCAGACCCTGAGCCCTCCCTTCTTCCCATTTTTTGCCTGGTTTCTGTACCTAGGAGAGGGTTTCAGTTCAGCGGTAGGACTGGCGAGCCTGAGCAGGCTCCAGCTCCAACTCTGCAGGGTATCATTATTGGCTTGAGATTCCCTGAGAGTCCTTGTCACTGGGAAAGGGTCTCAGTCCCTGCAGTTACATATGGCCTCCCTAGGTCCAGCTCCTCCAGGTTTCTCCAAAAGAGAAGCTAATGGATGTGTCCAAGCCCGACCCATCTGCCAGCACAAAGAGCAGTGGGATCCATCAACTCCCCATCCCTGCCACTGCACAGGCACTGCAGCTCCAGGGGTACAGCTGTGCACGCCCCATTTCAACAGCGATTCGCATCTGTGATGGTGTGAATGTGCACAGTGACGCTGCAGGTGTCCACCCAATTGCTACAAGACAGCAGGGACATAACTGCTCACAACGACCTCAGCTCACCCAACGTGTCTCCCATGGTGACGATGGCTCGGTGGTTCAGCTCCATGTCTCCAACCTTGTTGGACAACATCACGGCCAGGTGGGGCCTCCAGTCTCCCCACGTGGCATCACCACAGCTCTGGAGGGAGGGAGACAAGAGGAGAGCAAAGGTGAGCAGAGATGGTCACCACAAGGTGGGTGTCAGACAGGTGACACAGCACAGGGGTACATGTGCTGGGGCCAGCCTTTTGCTCACGGACCAGGGCTGCCTGGGGGATCCTTCCTGACATGAGCTGGAAGAGGGTCTGCAGGGGGTCGTTGGTGGCCAGTGTGCTGGTGAACCTGTAAGGAGACAGCAGGGATGGGGCTGCCATGCCAGGACCCTAAACCCTCATTCATCTCCAAGGGTACGTCCCAAATGCCCCTGGAAGGCAGTGCCCTGAGGGACTTCCCGGAGAAGGCAGAAAACATTACCTCCAGAGCAGGCAAGTCTCCAGGACAATGCTGGATAAAATCTCCTTAAAAAGATTTGGGTTGCACAAGACAGAAAATTTATGCTTAACTCTCCCTGAAGGGATAAACCCAATCCAGACTAAGTACGTTAATTCCACAAGAAAATGTGGGATGAACAGCTCAGATCATCAGGCTGGATCAAGATGAAGACAGCTCATCTCCGCCTACCCCAGCGGCTGCCTAGGTCTGCAGGCTAGGGCAGCAAGGGCAAAGCCAAAGATTCAGAATAAATCCACCCCACATCTCCAATGAACAGCTTTCCTTCTGCTTTCCAGCCCACACTTGGTTTCTCCTGTCCATCAGGAAGCCTGAAAGAAGCAGGCCCATCCAGACGGACACCCCCTCTCCCCTTTGCCCTCTCTGAAAGGGTCCAGCTGAAATCAATGCTCTTTTTGTACTGCACTGGGGCTGAGGGCACCCAAAGGTATAACAGGCTTGGCATAGCCAGTCACAGAACATCATACCTTGCTATAACCTCTCCAACTTACCCAGTGAGCACCCAGCTGTAGGTCCGAGGGTCCATCTTGCTGGAGAGGAAGAGAGCATGGCCCCACAGCTGGTTTCTCATGGCCCAGACCAGAGCGTCCTGCAGCCAAGGTGGAGAGGAGAAAGGGTTTGCACTAATTCCACCTCCCTGCCCTCCTCTTCTGCCAGGGGACCTTCTGCTCACCCAGCTCAGAGAAGAGTTCTGATGATTGTTCTGTATTTAACTAATACTCTCCAAAAAATGCTTATACATTCACACAGGTCTCTTTATCTTTCTAACTTGTACAATAACAAGGACTGGGACCTTCACAGAAATATTGTCATCCCTGGATTTCCAGGTCTGTGCTGCCTTTTAGCTCTTGACACCACTGCCATGGGATCCCAGCCTGGGCATGCAAGCTTCCCTGTATCCAACCCTCAGCTCTCCCCGTGCCTTTGGTATCCCTTGAGATCATAGCTGCAAGTAAACCGCCGGGCTGGTAAAAGCCTCTGCATCTTGTCTTCACTCAGAGCCCCATCCCAATGGTGGGAAATCACTGCCATAAGCCCTGTTGTACAAACACAACTTGAAGGGTTGATACCACAAGCACAAGGCACCTGTTGACCACTCGTCATTTTAAAGCCTTCCTGAAGAGGCGAGAGAGACCAAGAAAAGTCTGCCCAGTGTCCTGGAACCCATGCACCACTTACTTTCTTCCTGCCATAGTAGAGGAGCTTTGTGAACTTCTCCACTATCTGTGCCTGTGTCTCCACAACGGGAGAAACCTCCCCTGTGATGAGGTCCAGTGTCCCCGGCTGACACGACACCCACTCATCATCCGTCAGGCTGATCAGGTTTGTTGCAGGGATTTGCCTCTTGTACTTCTCCTGGCGCCTGCAGTCTTGCATCAGCAGCTCAGCCGTGTCCGAGCCCACCATGGACTGCGAAAGGGAAGGGGAGGAGTGAGGCCCATGGAGGCCGCCCCGTGAGCAAAGGTTAATGGCACTTCCAGTCCAACACCCTTAACACTTGTATCCTCATCCCAGCACATCTCCCCAGCAGGACCAGCCTTGGCCACCAGCACGAAGTTTTGAAGGGCAAAGGATTCAACACAACCAGCAAGACCTTCACAGCACTTGCTCTGAATGTCTTATTCATCTGCTTCCAACAAGCAGCTACAGATCAGATTGGATGGATTTCATTGGGTTAAAGGATAATCCCCTTTTAAGCATAAGTGCTAGCTCCTTGAGAAAGGTGGCAACAGCTTCTTTCAGAGCTGCTATAGCATTGGGTTGTTGGTAGCTCACAAAGATGAAAAGCAATCCAGAAGAAGGGTTTGCTCCAAGTACCCAGGCAGTACCAAACTGATTGGTGGTGCTGTGGGAATGGGATGCTTTTAAGAGTATGCTCCCCTGAAAATAGCAACTGGATCAAGGGACACATAAGGCCCATATAACTTGTCTCACTTACAAGATCAAAAGGACCAGCCTCTTCCACAGGACACCTACCCCATTCTGCTGGCAGAGAAGGACCAGGAATTTCCAGAGAAGAGCTGAATCTCTGCCCCTCTGTGTTGAAGGATCACAGCTTGTGGCTATCTTCTGCTGGCAAAATGTCATCACATCCACCTTGTGCAGATCTTCCCTGCAGCAGCAAAGAGAGGCATCAAAAGCAACCCAAGGCGAAGCAATCTAGGACATCAGACCCAAAGCATCCCCAGGTTCACTGATGGGGTTGCCAAAGGTTCAAAGTGAGAGATGGAGGAGAAGAAGATCCAGAAGATCCCAGTGCCAATGACCACACCAAGCTGAAAAAATGCTTAGATTTTATCATTGTTACGAGTCTTTGCAGATTTCTGTGTTTCAAGGATACAGAGCGCATCTCAAAGCCTCTCTCTGTCATCCTGATAATATTTTCATCCATCCATCTGCAAAAAAATTCAGTTTTGGTTTGCTGTGCTGCTGTTACTGCTGTAGATGTCCAAGACTGCAGGAGCAGGCACACATACAGGTAGTGATTAATGGGCATAGTGCAGGGAGAAAGCCCTGCTTGTGCTTGTGACTGTATAAACCCTCAAACAAAAGCAGAAACCTTTAAGCAAGCCAGGCAGAACTGCTGTCTTACGATAAAATACCAGACAGTTGGAAAGAAAAGGTGGCTTAGACACAAGGTCAACCAAGGGAGGGGGACTGAGGATGGAGATGCTGATTCTGAATCACACCAGCATATCATATGGAGATTCCCAACGTCCCCTTCGGCACAAGTGGTAGTCTCCAGGTCTTCTACCCAGCTTCTGGGCATACACAGCTCTCTTGCTCAGTAAATAGTTTTCCTCAGTAAATAGTTTTCCCCCTTCTGCACACTCCTTTTTGCTACCTGCCTTGGTTACGAGTGACCAGAAGACATGCTGGTGTAACCAGTACAATACAGAGCCAACCTGATGCAATATGCCACAGGCTCACCCTGGATGAATGTGCCTACTGGGTCTGACCCTGCCATGCTCAACAGCCTCCAGGTACAAAAACCTTAGGAAAAGCTAAACCACAGAGCATCCCAGGGCTTTAGACACCCAAAGAGATCTCCCAAAAATTAGTTTTCTGGGGTATGAATACAAAATAAGGTCAGTCATACAAGCCATGCTAAACCCAGACCCTATGAATATTTTAAAAAAATAATCCCCCATCTTCCACAATCCAAACCAACCTACACCACAGGAAAGAGGATGGACTCCCAATCTGAACCTAGACTTGGCCTTTGCACATATCTCAAAACCATGGGAACCTTGAAGTCTGCCTTGCGCTCATGTGTCCTTTCAAAGGAGAGATGTTCCCAGGCTGGCCACACTCACACAGCCAGAAGGACACAGATCCTGGACCTGCTGGTGTGGCATACCTGGTCAGGGGCCCTGGGAAGGCCTGTAGCTCCTCCAGCTCTTTCATGTCATGAAGGACTGCCTGAAACAAAAAGAGCAAATTCAGCAGCTGGACTCCAGCAATCAGGCCAACCCCAACTGGGCTAGCCAAAAGTTAATGCTTTGGCCAAGTGCTTGTGAACCCATTTTCTGTGCTGTCTTAAGGTAATCCCAACACCCTAAATAGACCCTAAATAACCACCACCTGGACCCCAGTGTCAAGGTCCAGAAAGGAAATGCCGGCTGAGATGGCATCTGCCTCCTTTGGGAGGCAAAACAGGAGAATGAAATGCTGTGGTAGACTCAGGGGATGGATATAGCCTCTGTATTGGAGCACCTCAAAAAGGTGAGCAGAATTACCCTTCAGAGAGGTATGGACCACATCTGTCCCTGTCAGAGGGGATCACTGTGAACAGGTCACAGATGACAAGGGTTACGGAGCTGAAGGAGAAGGATGCAGGCCCAAAGGCTGAAAGCAATGCCCAGACACAGGAGTCCATGTGGGCTAAAGATAAGAAGACAGCACGGGACAGGAAGGCTGCTAAGGAGTCTGTTTGGGTGACGAACGGTGTTTGCGTCCCACAGGGCAGAAGGGGGCCCAAGGTGGGGTCTGGGTTGCTGGGCTTTCCATACCTCCAGGCTGTGTAGCTCGACGAGGGCTAGCTGTCCCTCGTCAGGGCGGTGGGGGCACACCAGCACCAGCTGTCCTCTGGCTCCAAAGCACACCGCCACATGTGGCAGCAAGAACTTGAGGGGTACCTCTGGGGCCAGGGTGGATGCCAAGGGCCCCCCTGCAATGATACACATGCCACTGTAAGTCCCCTCACCCGGACCCCACACCACCTCCACTATGGAGGACGTGACTAGCTCCTAATCTAAGTAACCCTCTACTGACCCCCCTATGCAAGAACTATCCCCTAAAGCAGAAGGCATGCATGACAGCTCCTGCACATACCAGGGCAGAGCTGCCGGATCATCCTCCCACTCCACAGCCACCCCCAGTAACGCCTTGCATCTGCACAACCTCCTCCAGGAAAGGATCAAGCTGCTAGGCAGCAAAACACCTAACACCAGCCATTTATTTCCTTGCTCCCCCCTGTCCAACAGCTCACCTGCTTGTGCCGGGCTCCAGGTCCCTGAAAGCACAGGGTCGTAGTGGTCAGCACCATCATGGATGTACTGGCTGAGCTCATAGCTGCTGGAGCTGAGCCCCGTCTCACGGTACTGCAGGAGCAGGCTGGGCTGGCCCGAGGGCTGCAAGGAAGGGGGAAAACACAAACCTGGCTGAGAAACTAGGGAATCTGCTGTTTTTCCACTCCCAGGGCCGTGGGACAGGCTCTGCTGCTCCATGAAAGTGCCCAGCAGGAGAAGCACAGCACTGCCCATTCCCATCTGAGCAGCATCAGCACCTTAGGTTCATCATGGCACATTCCCTGGTCATACCCAATGGCTTTTAAAATAATTTACATCAGTCACTGGTCTAGCCCAACAGCTTTCCTAGCCCTAACAGAGACTCCTCAACACAGCCAGCAGATGCGTCTTGGGAACCTGAAAAACCTCTGCCCAGAAGTAAAAACCTCAGAGAAGCTTTGATTTGATCTTTTCATTTTCTCTTTGGCAAAACACAGTCAGTGGGACGCAGAGCAGACCTTGGTGGACAGAGCTGGCAATACCACACAGCTTTCAGCTACCTAGGGAGGATACAGAAGAGCATCCCACCAAACCTGGATTTCGGTCCTGCTCCTGGACCCATGCAGAAGCAGTGTGCACCCCCAAGCCTGGGGGTATGACAGCCCAGCAGATGAATAGTTCATAAATACTAATAACCCACTACAATAATCCCCAGGGACTGTTAAGCGCTGAGTGCAACATAAAAAGCAGCTCTTTTCTCCTCAGCCTCCTTCCCAGCTGGAGGAGGGACACAAGTATTGCTCCCAAAATCTTTGAGAGATCCCCAAGACTTTTGTCTTCTATCCCTCCCCATCTTGAGGTTACCTCTTGGGGCTGACTGCTGGGGTCCCCCAAATTGCTACAGAAGCTTTCTCCCCCTGCCCACTCCTGCTGGGCAACCGGGTCGTAGCTCTCCTCATAGGAGTTGTAGGTTTGCGTCCTGCAGGCGGGAGCAGAAGGAGACATCCTGAAGGTCAGAGATTTCCGGACCAGCCACAGACTTTGCAGCAGGGAGTTGCACCAGGTGGTTCCCAGTCCTCACACCCTTACCTGTTGTGCCCCAGGTGGGGCACAGCCAAGTTGGGGTGGTAGCCCCTGTAGTAGTGCTGCTTCCAGTAATTGGTACTCTTGCTGTAAGGCTCTCCTTGTCTCAGGTCTAGAGGGAGAATCAAGATTTAGTGTTCCCCCCCTACAGAGCAACAAGCCATAATGAAGTTGCAGAAGAAAAGTAATGAGTCAGACAATTTGCCATGCACACCCCATTTGCTTCCAAATTAACCCAGCAAGCTGGAGGTATGATAAAGCTTTGTACGTGTTTGCCAACACAGCACCGATGTCCGTCCTTCTTTCCTCCCTCCCCTTTTCCTCAGCCCAGGAACTCCAGAAACAGCAAAAACAAAGCCTTGGCCACCCTGATCACACAGTACCATCAGCATCGAGCTCAGCCTGGAGCTGTGGAAAAAAACAACACAGGTTTTTAGCCATGCAGATCTCCAGCAAGTCCTGGGAGAACAATCCAACCTGGAGAACCATCACCTCTTCTCCTGCAAGCAAGTTGCCTCCATCCACAGACTGAAAGGAGAAACTCATACCTCTGTCATCCTTCCAGGCCACTGGCTGCCACTGGTGGCTTTCATAGTCATAGTCACCCCCATGGCTGGCTGCCAGATACTGCCAGTGGGCATCTTCGTATCCTTGCCTGAAATGTAACACAACATACTGAATCTAAGAAAGGGCACCACACGAGATTCTGCACCACACCATATCTACGGTTAGACTCTTGTTCCAGGTAGGATCTTTGAAGGCAGAAGGCATGATGGAAATAAAGCCTGGTCCCCTGCCCAGGTGCTTGCTTAGTGACAGGAGAAGGAATGGGTCTAGCATCACACACCAGAGGAGCAGCAGGAGGTTTGGATCCTTTCTCATCTCCATCTACAAGCAAGCTTTGCTCTGCAGTTTCAGCTCAATGGTGTGGACTTACCTTGGGGATCAACTTTCACTCACATTTTAGGAGAAGTCCCTCAAATACACTTTCTCTGCCAAGCCCCAGAGCTGCCATGTCCAGCGCACAGCTTGGTGCAGGTCTCCCGCTTCCCAGGAGCCTAACCTGCCCACCCAGCACTCATGCACCTTAACAATTTGCACAGTGATTTGGCCAGCCCCATGCAACATCCCCCTTCCCAGCGCAAGCATCACACAAAACCCTGCATATCCACACCATAACTCTCTGAGCACAATGGCTCAGTCAAATCAACCCCAACTCACTGGGGCGCTTGAAGCTTGCTCGCAGTACCAAGAGCATCCCCTCGCCCACATTTTATCTGCCATTTCAGCAGCTGAGCTTGCAAGCTCCTTACATACTACTATCTGTATTTTTATTGTTCACCTTGCACTTGGTATAAAAGAACTGCATTTAATCAAACCTTCAAGAAAAATGCACCTCGGGACCAAGATGAAGGCTGTAAAATGGCAACCACAGAAGTCATAGCTGTAAGAAGAAATCAGAGCTGCAACTACATTGAAGCCTTAATATAGAAGTCATTGGTTGCTTTAGTAGCTGGACATCACCTAATCAGGCACTGCCTCCCCAAGCCTGCAACTCCTGACTGCTCACCACTTTTCCTGTGCCAAGGGCATCACCCGCGCTGCAATCCCAAGAGGCTGGTGAAGTGGTCAAATCTTATTTTATACGGGTTTACAAGGAGGTGGCTCAGGGCAGGCATCGCAAAGAGAAGCAGCTCTCACCTGGAGTATGGCCTGTTGGGGTAGCCACTTTCATAGTACTCAGCCCAGGAAGCTGGTCTGCAAGTGTCCCTTCGGGGCTGGTGGCCCTCCTCCCAGGAGTGGCCAGGGAGGTGGCCCCTGTCCCAGAAGCCAGGCCAAGGTGGGGGCCCTGGGCGGAGGAGCTGCCTCTCCCGCAGCTGGGGTGGCCAGGCAGGGGCCCGGGGGTCCATCACAAGCTTGCCTCTCCTGGTTTTGGCATGGGAGGGCAGGGGTTATATCCCAAACGGCTTTAGTGGCCTGCAAGCAATGAGATAAACCACAGTGCATTTTATCCGTGGCTTTTCACCCCCCTCAGAGCCCCCCATGAAGCATGTTGCCACCTGCTCTCTGCTTTTGGGAACCTGCTGGAAGCCCACACATCCTCTCCAAAATGCCCAGAGGCAAGGAAAAGCTGCCTCCTCATTTGCCTAGATGTGAAGCTCCCCTTAAAACAGCAGGATGAAACAGTTCATTTTTGGAAGCAACAGGCATCCAGCTCTTCCTGGAGCAAGAGGTAACATCCTTCTGCACTCCCAGCCTTGCACAGCACCGCTGCTCACAGCCTCCCCAGGAAGGGGACAGATCAGCTTTACCTCTGTGACAAGACAGTGAAACCTCATGCTTTACGTGGTAGGGGAAAGAATATTGGCAAGGCCATGAGCAGGACAAGGAGAGTTATCCCCAAAGAAACTAGCAGGGACAGCAGCAGGGAGAAATTAACTTGGCTCACGTGAGCCATGAGATGGGGTGGAAACAGGGATTTTCTCCTGCTTTTCAGCACCAGCAAGAATACAGCAGCGCAAGCAGACACCATATTTACTTGTAACAGTCCCACGCAGAAGAGGAAACACCAAGGAAAGCCCAGGGCAACACATGGCCAAGTTCCAGCTGTCAGGGCAAGGGATGCCACCCTCAAGCCCCCCGCATCTCCTCTTGTAGCATCAGTACCCAAACTGCCCCCACAAAGGCTCATGAGCCTCGCAGACACAGGCAGATGGCCAGATGCTGTCTGAACCACTTGCCACACCTCTCACACTCAAAGTTTGAGGCATTTTGGTGTCGTTTCAGGGCTGGGTGGGGACACACACTCAGGTCTGAACAGAGACGGCTCAGTTTATGCCCCTTCTAGGTGAAATCAAGGTTAAATCCTTCCCCTAAACAGCCCCTGGGCAAAAGCATCCAGACACAGCCACCACTTTGGTCCTGCCAAGGGCCCCCCTAATTTTTGGCCATGGGTTCCCACCACCGTCCGCCCCACACACACCTGCTCGGAGGCCACCAGGGCCCTTCTTCCGCTCCCCAGGCGCCGCTGCCAAAGTCCACTGCCACATGGGCTGCCGGGGGGACAAAGGGCAGCCTCCGCTCCTCCGCCCCAGACCGACCCCCTCAGCTGCTCGCTCAGCTTCCAGGGGAATTTGTGCTGCTCTTTGCATCCCTGAGGGTCACCTTTTCCATCACTTGTGCCCCCTCTCACCCCAGAGATGGAACACGCAGCCCTCTGAGCTCAAAAAAGCCAGATATTCCTCCTGTGCTTTTGTGTGTGTGTGTGTAATGCCATAAGTATTCTTCTCTATACATCCTCACACTTCCTAAGTAATAATAAATTAAACCTGCTGGCTAAGCTGTTGGTTTAATCCAGACGCAGCCACAGCTCAAGCAAATAACATCCGTCCCACCAGCTGTTATTTGGGCAGGATGGAGCTGGGGTTCACCGCAGCACTGCCTCATCTAAGTCCTTATAGTGCAGTAACAGCATCACTCTATAAGCAACCAGCGATTCCTGCCTGGAGAGCCCCTCACAAATGCCCCCAGGCACCTTAAGACACAAAAAAGGAGTAAATTAAGGCAAATGGCATCATAGAAAACTGCAGTAAAAGTCAGATATAAGAGTCAGTGTCTTCCACCCAGCAGCCTTGTGACATGCCATCTTCTCCCCTTTTGCCAGGGAAAGCAGGAGCAGTTCCCTAACGCCCAAAGCCTCCATTTGCTGAGTGCGAGCAGCCAGATTTCAGCCCGAGGGCAGCACAAGGGAACATACAAGGACCAGTAGAAAACCAGCTTTTATTTCCTTCTTTTTCTCCCCACACCCTCACTGTCATGGCTTTCTCTGGTGCTGCATGAGCGCCTCCATATTACCTCTGCCATGACACCGCAATACAGATTGATTTGGGATTCACAGGCAAGATCTTCTTTGTATCACAGTGGCACTTGTCAGAAAAACGCCGTTTTAATGATGTTGGAAGGCTACACATATTACAGCTTCAGAGCTTGAAATTTCCACCCTTCTGGGAGAGTAAGAGATTTTCCCTGGTGATCCTAAGAAATAAGCGTTCAGTCTCTGCAGAATTCAAGGTTTCAAATTAAAAAATACCCTTAGCACTCAGCTGCACCAAGAGCTGACTGGAAGAAATGCAAACCAGGGAAGCGTTGTCTTTGTGCTGGCAAGCTGCTTCGGTAGAATGAGATTAAGCATCTCTTACCCATTTCACAGCTGTCCTTCAAAACTTTAGGAGGCTCTGAACAAAGTAAATGGTCTGTTACGGACAGGTCAGGTTCTCCCGGGAAAGCTAGAAAGGTTCCCTAGAGACCATGAGGCTCCCTGTTTTTGAATACATCATACTTCCACTCAGCTACTGGCTAATAATTTTAGTTTTCTAGCCAAGAGGTTACTGCTGGATGTTTTCAAACTGTTTTCTAGCAATCACATAAATTTATACTGGGAAGCTGCAAGGGTTCAGCCAGTGTTGCATGAAGGGGCTGAGGGCAGCCCCAGCTTCTCAGGCTTCTGGTGCCAGCCAAACCTGGAGAATTTGGGTTGCACAGAAGACTTGGTATCTTGACTTGCATAAAAGCAGCTGCAACTTGTCATGCTTATGTTTGAGATGAGTGAAAACTGTACCCGCCCATGCTAGGGAAGGATATGAAAGAAATGCTACCAGCAAAGTCAAGCTTCGAGCAGAAGTTGTTTAAAATGGGCAGCTGGGGAACACCAGTTTAAAGGAAAAAGCAGAAAAGTGCTTTGGAAGAGGAGAGCTAGGGGAAGGAGCTGGGAAATGAAAAGCAAAGGAAGAAAAAAACAGAGATAAAAGGACCAGATGGGCTAGAAAGAGGCAAAGGGTAACCCTTTAACTACATCACTTCTAGCCAAGAAATATCTATTTTTAAAGGGATCCATAGCTTTCTTGAAATACAAGACTGTGCCATAGGACAACCATCTTACAAGACTATTGTGAATCAGGCAGCACATGCTACAGAAAGCATTTGTCAGACAGAGCTGAAGGGACAGGAATCTCTCTTTAAAAAAATAATATTTTTCCACTTTAAAAGGTTTCACTGCTGTTCTCACAGTAAGAAGATCAGGTGGGAAACATTTTTCATCATGTCCTCAGGGTGTTTGCTCCACTTGCAGCCAGCCCCTGATGCTCAGGCCAGTGCCCCTCACACCAAACCCAACAGGTGAGAATAACCTCATCAGCCAAGCCTCATCAGAAATCTTCCTAGCCTAATAAAAAAATACAAGTGGCTTCAGTACCTGAAGCTATTTTTAGGTGATTTATGTTGTTTCTAATTGGTTCTGAGATGAGATTTTTTTTTTAACTGGCATCAATAGGAAGCTTTGTTCATCTCTGAGTTTTAGACCCCTAGAAATGTGAGAGATATATAGGCACACACACTTCTTTGGAGTGGAGATGTTATAAGCATCATGTCACAGCACAGGAGAGTTTGAAAGGGCTGGTTACGGTCAAGAGAAAAAACCTGAATCCAGCTCATCTCTCATCACAACCGTCGGGCGGAAACACAAGTAGTAGATGAGCTGCACAAAACGTGAAAACTCATTATAAATATCCTGTACAGTGAAAACACCAGCCCTGAACACACTGACAGCATTGGAGACATTTGACACATCATTACACATCACACACAGCCCAAAACAACTAAAATCACCCAGGAAACCTGGGAGATCAGGTTTCCCAGGCAGGCTGAGCACCTCCAGGGGCAGGGGGAAAGCCCTCACCCTCAATTAGTCTCAATGGCGGCTAATTAACTACTTAGCTTGATCGCTCCCAGGCTTACAGGGTGGTAAGAGCCTCTGCTCCAGCTGGGGCTGGCAACTGGGGCTTTCCCAGGCCAGGGTCAGCCTCCCCAGGCTGGTGGGAGGAAGGTGGTGGCTCCTGAGATAACGGCTAACCCTAACCCTGAGTTTGTGCCACCGTGTGGATTTGATCTGGCCAGCCTGGCACCGCTTCACATTTTCCGGTAGCCAGTTCTTGTGCTTAAGTTTTCACTAATGGTTTTGCACCTTTTGTCCCCGTGCTAGGTTGTTTTTAGCTCTGAGGGACTGAGCTATCCCTCCCACCCCCCTACACAGTCATGTTTACCAACATCCAGGCATGCGTATTAATCTTTTGAGACTTAGGCAAGAATATTGATTGCATTCCAGAGGCATTCAGCATACAGCAAATTGAGAAAAAGCATTTTACGCTCCCCATTGTATGCAATGAAAAAACAAAGCTGCAAAAAGCTGTTATTTGTGAAAATCCAAGCACTTATGTACAGGATAGTGTACATGTCCCCAGTCTGGCTGCAAAGGGAAGGTAAGTCCAGCCTTCTGCATGAGCTCTTATTACAAAGCAAGACCCAAAAATCTTTGGAGTTCATTCCCACTTCTGCACAACCTCTTAACTTTTGGCTGTGAATACTAAGTCCTTGCTACTTGCATCCCGCATGCCTAAAGGAGAGTCTGTGCTGCTCCCGCATCCCATCACGGCAGACTGCCACGGCAGCTCACCTGGCTTGACCCATCATGGTAGGGGATTGGGATGCACGAGGGCAAACGGAGATGACAGAGCTAAACCCAACCGCCTTGAGGAGGTCAGAGAGCTTTCAGTATTCAGGTCTTCTCATTTTTCTGTGAAACACCCCTGATGTTTTCCCAGCCATAAAATTGATGTTTATCTCACTGCTAACTGCCTTACAGAGATCATTACACATTGCAAATTCAAGCATTTGCAGATAAAACAAGCACAGGCAGCCTGGAAACTGTCACACCACCCGGTCGCCTTGCCATATTGCAATGCGTTACAACCTTTAAGCTGAAAATTAACATATAAAACCAAGAGGCCGGGAAATATTTGCCAGGCAAATGCTGAAAACCAAGCAGAGGTAATTCTTCCACCCACCCTACTCCCTG